GTTCACACTAGGAAACACACAGCATCTCCACAACATGAGACTCTCTTTCTAATTTTATCATTCCTTTTAAAGGCCTAGGCTCATTGGAAATGCATGCTTTAGCCTAAATGTTTGCAAAATGTAAAATCTGTTCCTCCCCCGTACGATTCGTTGGTCTTTTCAGGTGACAAATCCACTAGAGGGCACTATATAAATTTTTGCAAATCTGAAATATGTTACTTAGGGTAGATTTTGTTGTATGATACGCGTCCTTTTTGTGCACATGATTAGAAGGCAGGCCCTGTCATTTACATCCCATAGCAAACCACAGACCTTAACTGTTTCACAACCAAGTGTAAGAGAAAATTACTCTGCAACCACTTAGGTTCACCTTAATTTTGCATTGCTTTAATTTATTTTGTATATCTGTGCTTCACCAGATTATAGCCCAATAGCTTCTTTTAAGTACAATGCCATACAAAATAACAGAAAATGTAATATATTTACGTTATTGATTACATATTTTAAGTAGTTGTTGGTTTTTATTTGGTGTAGTGCAAAAACTGCATAAAAAAAATCTTTTATCAAAAAATATCACACTAGAAATGTCATTATTGTGAAAAGGAATGAAAGTATATATATGAATATATATGAATAGTATTTATATGAATATAAAAACTACTACCTGCATGCCTTCTTCATTTCAAGGAGTCTTTTTCAGTTTATTGACTATTTTTATTTGTATAATGTTATTATTATTATTGGTAGTAGTATTTATTGTATGCTTATTTATTTTTGTTTTAATACAAATTTGTCCACCTGTATATTAAATATGTAGGCTAATGGATGTCTTCTGTGGAGTGCGAACAACACCATTTCCTTATCCATGAAAGTAAAGAGTGAAAGTAAAGTAAAGAGAAAGAGGCCGAATGGAGGAGGCTTGTTCTTTATCCTTGTGCTGCAGATGGTCTGTTTAACTGTTTTCTTGCTAGTGTAGTGTTCAGTTTTTCCACTTACAATATACGCCATGTAAATAGCTAATGTGCCATGGCGCGACGCAACTGAATCTTTTGAAGAGAATGGGAAATGAGATTGTGATTGGTTTAATGCGCGTTATGCTCAATACACCATAACTAATTAAGAGAATAAGCACAACCCTGTTAAACCATGTGCCAAGGCTCAGAGCGTATTTTTCCATCCTTAAAATAGCAAAAGTGGACACACCCTTAATGCTTTTGCACCATGTTCTTTAGACTATTCGCCTAGATCGTTAAAATAGAGCTCATAGAGTTTTTGTCTTGTTGTTAGTCTAAATATTTAAAAATTCTTAACCAGTTAAACTCTGCAGGTCCGTGACGTCATCGACTTCCACTTTAAGATTTAAAGGGCTAGCATTGCACCAGACCCCGTAAGTGGTTCTATTTGAAAGTGTAGACTTTGGTTTTGTTTCTTCTGTACAAAAGTTATTTACACTTAAATACAATAGTATTTTGGAGACCCGAGCTGGGTATTGAACATTGGTTCATTTTCATATTTTTTATATGGTTCATATATGACAATGAAAGCTCTTGCCGGTGCTCATACGGTTCTAGAATTCTTTTTACTAAATTATATTCACATATCAAACTGTTGTCGAATGAATCTCTGTGTTTTTATGGCGTAGAAGTGAAAACAATACATTTATGATCAATAAGAAACCCCGGATAGCACAGATAGCTAACATCGCTTACCTTATGCTGTGAGCTTCAGGGCCATTTCTCCTCTGTTTTGAGGTGATGTGCATAAGTAATCCTTTTATATGTCTGACGTGGTCCAAACACAGTGAATTATGTTTGATCAAGCAAAAGATAGTGAAATATGAAAATAATCATCGATCCCTGTGACTTGTATAGCACCTCTCATTAGTTGTAATACAATAACTTTTGCATAGATTATGGTAGAGACATTTTTCTTTTTTCCTATGATTACAGACATGTGCAGGAAACACCCAAATTAATTACAGCACGCTAGACCACACAGAACCTAAAAGGTACACTTTCAAATTTGAGTTTATAAAAAAAAAAAAAATACTAAAAGCGCCTCATTTTTTAGGTGTTTATTGTTACACAGACAACATATACAGATATTTTAAACACTTTCAATAGTGTTTTATGAAAATTCAAAGGGTTTTCTTTAAAAGGATATCAAATTTTTGAATTTACATCTCTGCATGTGGATTTGGGAAGCTTTTAAATTTGGGTAGGCAAAATCCAGGCGGAAATCCCAAAATTGCAGCAGAGTTTAACTGGTTAAATGAAGAAACATTTTCTAGATGTTTTTTCAGAAATAATGTCAAAATTAAGTGAGATTTTCCTCAGATCAAACAAATCTGCATATGAGGTAAAACAAAATAAACGTTCATCAAAGTGAAAAGATTATTTTGCTTGTTTTCATAAAAAACGAGATTATTTTTGACATATTATTTTGAAAACAAGATGATCTGTTTTACTATAGAAAATTCATCTTGATTTAAGAGTTGTTAAACATTTAGACTAAAAACAAGACAAAAACTCTAAAAGAAAAGATTTTACAGTATATACAGTATATTACATGAAAATGACCCCTTTAAGTAATGAAGAAACTTCCAGCCTCCATTACACTCAAGTATGGTTCTATTTTTTATGACCTCAAAATGCAAAGCGATAAGATTTTAGCCCATCATTCAAACCCCACGTTATTGGATTTTTAAAATCTCAGTCATATAAGTCATAGAGGTGGCTGGGACTTCAGAGATTACAGACAGCAGAATTAATCAGCACAGGTGGGTCTCCTGCATGAGCCTAGAAGTTGTTGTTATGACCTCTAAGTGTCAAAAGTTGTGTTCTTTTTTTCTGTCTGGCCACAATCCTTATGTGATAAATCTTACACTGGGCTCTCAAAATGTCAGTTGGTTCATCAGCAAGTGGAATAGCAAGCAGGTGCTGCCTTCTTTTAATGGCAGAGGCATATGTTGACGTTTTATCAATAGACATTATTAAATCTTGCTTGGGTGAGTTAATCTCAAGCTGATGGTGCAGAGAGGTTGAGAGAGACAGGCTTTAACAGGCCTTCCTGAAAGGCAGGTCATAAGCTGCTTATTATATCGACTCTGTCTTACACACACACACACACATTTTCACACCCGCTCTCTCTCTCTTATCCTCAGTATATCTGCCGTTCTTGCATGTGCTGAACAAAAATATTAGCAGGGTCATCCTGCAAAATGGCAGCATTGGTGTCCCTGAAAAATAACCTTTAACGATAAAAATTTAGCTGATGGTTTTTTTTTCTAAATAAAAAGTGCATTTTTGATGAAAATATTAGTACTTTTAGTAGATTTTATGTTTATTTTTTTTATAAATTAGTTGAAATAATGTTTCCCAGGTTGTTCTTTCACAGTCGTATTAAAATTTGAGGAGTTATTTCATATATTAATATTGAATTATTTCATAGATCAATAAATGGGTCAGAATGACATCATTTTCTATTTATTTTTTAGTTTGTTTTGCTTGATTGTTTGTTTGATTTGATATTGTTTTGTTCCATTCGACAATTTGTGTTACTTCATTCATTCATTCATTTATTCAACTTTATTTATAAAACACTTTACAACCACCGAGAAGCAGACCAAAGTGTTAAACAGTAAAATGGAAATTTTAGGTAGGGCATTCCATAACTTGGGGGCAGCTACCGCAATTGCACGGTCACCTCTAAGCTTACGTCTTGTTTTTGGGACTCTTAAGAACCAGCTGATCTGCTGATCTGAACATGTGACGGTATATAGGGGTGTAGCAGTTCAGATATGAAGTGTGGGGCAGAGCCATTTAAGGATCTAAAAAAAAATATAAGAATTGTAAAATGAATTCTATATTGTTCAGGGAACCAGTGGAGTATGGATAAAATCGGGGTGATATGATCAAACTTACGACTTCCTGTTAAAAGGCCTGTTGCAGCATTTTGCACTAGCTGTAGGCAGGCCACCACAGAAGACCCACTTATCCCGATGTAGAGCGAGTTACAGTAATCCAGGCGGGTGGTAACAAAGGCATGGATTACAGTTTCAAATTGTTGTCTTGACAAAATGGCTTTATTTTCCTCAGTTGTCTCAGCTGGAAAAAGCTTGCCTTGACCACTGCCCCATTTGGCTGTCCAACTTTAGGTCAGGATCATTATGTGACATAATCTGCAGCCCATTGGTTCTTATATTTATTGACATTGGCCTGACCCAATCACAAACTTCCATGTTGGGCTCTGTGTAACCTAGGTGTGTAATTGTCAAAATAGCCGAGAGTCACGCCTGTTTCTTACGAGCAAGTCCGCGGGAGCGCAGGCATTTGCCTTTTGCGTCTGCACTCTGCAGCGTGCAGCGGGGCACAGATCAATATATTCCTGTCTATTCTATCTGGTTATCTGTCCATATAAATATACTTTTTTTTTAAACTTTTAATCTGCACCACGGCCCACGGCAACTTCCTCCTATGCTGTTTCCTTAACCTGCAAGTCTTTATGTTACAAATTATAAAGAATGTCTGCTTCTCAAGCTCTATCAGGGGTGTCATTCATGTATTTTAAGATGCACTTGGTCAGAGGACAATCGCATGAGATATCATGACATTGCACTGTAAAAACTAATCTATAGAATTTACCCAATAAATCTGAGGTAACAATTTGCATCGACTTTGGCTGGGTATATTTAATGCCATATATTGAGTATAAACTATTGACTTTGGCTGGGTATATTTAATCCCATATATTGAGTATAAACTATCGTCTTTGGCTGGGTAGATTTAATCCCATATATTGAGTATAAACTATCTGAAGTAAAAAGCTATTAAATACTACAAAAATTGGGTAAAAAATACCTCACATTTATGTATATATTCAACACCTACTTATTAGGTAAAAACTATCTCTTTAAATCGAAGTTTATTAATATCAGTTACCTAATAACAATTACTTATTCAGAGAAGGTAAAATCTACCTCTACAATAAAGACATTTAAATTGGTTATCAACTCAATGTTTTTATTCCAAAAAATCAGAAAACGCACTTAAAATAAAGTGCAGCACAACAGCATTACACAACATTTCAAGTAATGAACATGTTTTATAACTCGCTGATCTATCAAATATTTCAATAATGTTGGATAATAAAACATTTCCCTGTTTTAGGACATCCAGATCAGAGCAGAAAAGAAGTAAGCAAAGAAAAGGAAAAAAAAAAGGAGAAAAAAAGGAGAAGTGAGGAGATTAGAGCAGAGCTGGATGTCCAATCACATCAAGATTTTCTTTTATCTAAACTCTTAGACTAAACTTGTGTCTTTTCAGATTTACACAACAGTAACTGACCAGTGGTCTGTTATCCATATACATTCATAAAACAAAATAACTGAACAGTCTTGCTTATATGCAGCACTGATGCACCAAATTATCAAAACACACAGAATAAAGTGCTAAATAAAGTACAACAGCTTCACACAACAATGAACAAATAAACCTGTTTTATAACTCATTAAGACAACAGTTTCAAATGTTGTTTCAATAATGTTGGATAATAAAACACATCTAGATCAGAGAAGAAAAGAAAAGTGAGGAGAGAGGGGAGCAAAAAAAGGAAAATAAAAAAGAAGTGAGGAAATCAGAGCAGTGCTGAATGATCAATCACATCAAGATTTTCTTGTATCTAAAAACACAGAATAAAGTGCTAAATAAAGTGCAACAGCTTCACACAATAATGAACAAATAAACCTGTTTTATAGCTCACTAAGATAATTTTCAAATGTTGTTTCTGAATAATTGGCTACTCGCATACAACTCTTTCAGAGGCCACTTATTATATTTTAAAAGGCAAAACCACACACACAACCTCGTTTTTCTGTGCATGTACAGTATTAAATATAAAAAAAGATAAAAGAAAAACAAAATACCATCATTTTTTTTTTTTGTCCTTACTCTCACTCTCGCAGATAGGATCAGAATGAAATAAGCAAACAAATGGGGAAGAGGGTAGGTGAGATCAAAATTGTTCAGGCCACTATCTATTAGTATTCCTTTTCTGTCAATATGGGGGAAAACACAGAGCAATGGAGAGGGCTGAGAAACAGTGGATGGGTCTGTGTCTGTATGTGGAGCAAATGAGGGAAGAGAAGAAAAATATAAAACAGTCCATTACAACTCCATCAAGGTATGTCCAAACAAAGAATCCCCTTTAAACAAGGAGAGAAATGTCTACTGCATAAGCTTATTTTTGAGGCTGTGGACTTTCTTCAGAAGTTTTGCCCCATCAATTTCCAAAAAAAGTTTTTGAAAAGCTTCAAATGTGTTCTTCAGCTCCTTTGGATATTCAATGTTGATTGCATATATGAGTCCCATCAGCAGTATGCATGCCTTTGTTCGGCTTCCACATCCTTCCATCACTTGGTTTCCCTCGATCACAATAGACAAATCGTCCTCCTCAGCCATGACATTGTGCTTCACAATCACCTTCATTGTTTTGTCTGTGTACTCCTCACATTCCTAAGTGTTAAAAAGAAACAAACAAAAAGCACACACAATTTTATTTCAAGATGCTCTTTCAATATATTTCAGTTTATCTAAAGGAGAGCAGAAGGGAGTAGAAGACAAAAGGAAAAGGGAGATATGAGAGGAGGATCCCTTGAGTTAATCAAGAATATGTTATCCATATGACATACCTGCCATTCATGGAAAAGATCTTCTTGTCTTTCACCGAGGTAGTTAATGAGGCAGCAGACAACAGCATCTCTTTTTTCCTCAATGTTCTGTGTCTGTAGGGAGATACAATTTAGCAGAGTGGGGGGTTATTTGCATGTACTAAGACTGAATTCCGGCCCTGCAATAGACTGGCGACCTGTCCAGGGAGAACCCTGCCCCTTCGCCTGATAAATGCTGGGTTAGCTTCAGCTTCTCTTGACCCGGATAAAGCAGCAAAGAAAATAGATGGATAAGACTGAATTCACACACTGATGTTAAAAGTTAGTTTAGGTTGGTAAGGAGCTCAACTTAACACAACAAAGCAATTGTTTACAAATAATTTAACTTTTAATTCCCTCATATTAATAATTATATATCTGTGAAAAAATAAAATAACATACATTTAAACTGTCCAGCAGAGGACGCATCTTGCAACCAGCTGCTCCTCCTTTGGCACGCATTAGCCGCAAAAGACCAGGTGTGTACTCATCAAGCTTCCGCAGGAATGTCTCCTCCAAGGAAACCATTGTGATGCGTCTGAACTCCTCCTTGATCTAGGAAGTAAAAAGAACAAAAATTATATGTTAAATGACAGACCAGATCTCATAGTAATCACATGAAAGTATCTTAGTGGGGGGAAAAAAAAGAAAAATTCTCACCTGAGCCTCAGTGAATAATGCTGGCCACCTTTCTTTAAACACATCAACAGAGGGGCTGAGGCTGACCACTTCAATTCTTCGGCTAGAGAAGGTTTTATTCATTTTATCTGCAATTATCTTTGCATTGTTTTTCTTTGTAATTTCACAAATTAATTCAAGTCTCTCTTTCTCCAGTGTCTCTTGGCTTTCACCAGTAGGGTGTGGAGGGAGGTAATTAACCTCTGCTTTTTTGGCCTTTTTTATATTTTTTAAAGGCCCTACATCAGCGGGATGCTTCCTTTTTAAGGTGTTGATTTCAATTTCCGGGTAAGAATATTTTCGAGATCTTAGCTTTGCACGGTAATTGTGCATCTTGTTTTTTATGCGCTGCTGCCAGCCATATAATCCCGCAAATGAACCTGGCTCCCTAAGACACGGAAACTTAGAAACCAAGGCTTCAGCTACTGAGAGGATCTGCTCATTGGTTGGGTAAGCGGTGTATGAAAAAATTACTTTTGCAAGCTCTTGCATTATTGCTGATTTAATACTGGCATCCATGAAGTGTCTTCCAGAGGCATGATACGAGTTGTTTGCCTCTGCAAGGATTAGTTCTATGTCTCTGGAAAACTCTGGTACTTGGAATGGCACTGGCCATGCAGCAGAGCGACATGAATCAGGAAGAATAATGGTATCACTGGAACTTGAAGATTCGCAGTTTGACACCTCTGAGGATGCATCATGATCTGCAGGGCAGATGTCCGTTTCAGCAGTACTAGCAGGATGGGTGCTCACTGTACTCAATGTAGATGATTCAAATACTGGGTGTAGGTCAAGGGTGATTGTCGGCTCTTTTAGGATCACTTTAACAGTGGCCTTGTCATGCAAGTCAGCAGTTGAGGTGACACTGAAAAACTGATTGTCAAAGTTACTGTCTTGGTATAGTAGTCCAATTTCCCCATGCAATTGGAAAGTTGCAGTAATTATGGAAACAAGATCTTCCAATGTATTTGGAATTCCTGTTGGAAGTTTCAATTTTTGAATGTTGTGTTCTTCTAAAATTACTCTTAACTGGACCGCCATTGTTGATTGTAGTGTGTTTCTTTAGCTGTAGAGACAGAAAGAAAAGAAATTGAGACAGGTTATTAATAGTTGATGAGCTTACTTGCATATGTTTGCTTCAATATTGTTCTGCCAAAGCAATAAACGGATATTTAATGAAGTAGAAATTTTAAGAAATAATCTGATTGTAATTTTTTTAAGAAGAGGTAGATGAGGAAAGAAGAAGGAGGATAATAAGTATTACAATTTTTTTCCCATAACTGAGGACTTTGGTTAAGGTAACTACACCTTTGAGGACAATGCGATTTATTTTATTTGGAAAACTTGCATACCTGTAAAGGATACACTTGCGGTGTGGTCGTGTTTGGATGTGTTAGGCCTAGAATGGGTAACAGCTGTCTATCAGTGAGTCTCTGCTTGTGGAGGACAGACAAGAGAAACTGAAGAAAGGGTCAAATAGTGAGTGTCCACATACACAGACTCTGCCTGCAACAGAAATTAAAACAGAAATTACACAAAAGAAATGATCAGACATGTACCTGGGTTAGATTTTGTACAGTTGATTTTGTGTTTATCACAATATAATGTAAATGATCACCTCTGGTGGTTATTCAGGTGTTTGTTTAATATGCAAAATGAATTATGACCCCAGGCATTAAAAAAAACTAATTGCAGAATGGCGATCAATTGGGGAAATAAATACAGTAGTTTATCTGTGCTCCTCTGATCAAGGCAGTCTGTCTGACAAAGGTCAGTTATGCAGAAATGATGTGTTATGTGTACTTAACTCACTAAAATAAAGGCATTGCAATTACATATATTAATATCTATGCTTAGCTTCATAGATGTAATATGCCTCATATACCATATTACAAGATTATAAAAAAATTATTAAACACTGATGTTTAAAAAAATACCAAATATAAGATAAAAAAAATATTCTAAAATGTTTTAACTGATCCCACAATTTTTTTAAAAATGGGATACAGAGGTACTGTTTTTATGTTTCAAACAAGACAAAAGGGAAGTAACGTTAGTGCAAAGCAGTAGCGCTCTCTCTTGTTCTCCCTCTCTCTCTCTCTCTCACACACACACACACACACGCACAGCACGGCGGATGCGCTCTTTCACTCACTCTCTCTCTCTCTCTCTCTCTCACACACACACACACACACACACACACACACACACACACACACACAGAAAGCACAGCGAATGCGCTCTCTTTCTTTCTCACACACACAGCACGGCGGATGCGCTCTTTAACGCTCTCTCTCTCTCTCTCTCTCATTCAAATGTAATCTCTCTCTCTCTCTCTCTCTCTCTCTCACACACACACACACACACACACACACACACACACACCCACACACAGCACGGCGAATGCGCTCTCTTTCTTTCTCTCTCTCTCCCTCGGGAGTGCTATATAGTTAGGCCACCCGCTCCGGTTAAAATTACACCAGAGTTACCGACCGCTAACGTTACTGCGTTTTATCTGGAAATTTATTCCCGTGCTCAAGAAAACCGGTCGGGTCCCGCGAAACAGCCGCAGGAATGCAGACCTCTAGCCTGGGGTCAGTTTGTGTATTTGAACACATCAAACCGACGCAAGAAACACAACATACCAAGTTGCCTGACCGACGGGCAGACGTTGCTCAACAGCCGGCTGTTGGCTTGGTGTGTGCCGGGCCATGGTGACGCCAGCGACAGTTTCAAACTTTAATTTCAAGTAATGACATTTTAAACAAATGAACGCAGAATAAAAGTGATGTGTAATATCTCATAATTTCAAAAATGACCTTAAATTGAGCTTACCTTATCTTCTGCTGTTCGATGGCAGCCGTTGAGAGGATCCAGCGTCGCCCAGTCACTCAAAAACGCGGGCTGACGCATGCGCAATTTCAAGCAAAAAAACTCACGGTTTAAGGGTATACTTTACTGCCTTTATCAATGTGATGATTGTTACTGTTGACGAATGGGTAGCATATGTAGAATTTACCCATTACTTTTAAATTCCTTGGTTGGCTGCAATAATCAAGTAAATTTTATATGGTTTTCACAGATTATATTTACCGCTCTCAAAAATCACTTTTTTCAGTGTGTGTTTTTGATCGTCAGCATGATGTAGGCTTATAGTGACAATAATTTTTATACAATATTGTTATTATAATGATATTTATACATGACCAAAGTAGTGTGCAACTTAAGCAACTTTTTTTACATTTAGTTTTGAAGTTCTGTTCAAACAAATATGTGTTGCATTTTTCAATTAAGTTCATTTGATTGACAATGTAAAACCTTTTAGCTACGTTTGATGTTTAATTGTTGAGTTAAACATTTTTTTAGGGTCTCTGACACATTGCTTTTATTATTTATCTTTATTTTATTAATCAACATTAACTGTGTGCGTCAGCAGGCAGTTTGTATGTTCATTATTTATTAGGCTCCCTCAAAACACACAGGCACCCACATTTCCAGTGTGGATTATACTTTTATTATAAAATTAAATAAAATTGTAAAAATTAAATTAAATAAAACTCTCGTTATTTTCTATATATGGCTTTTGTGCTTTTATAGAATGGGAGTTGGTAAACATATTCAAGGGCATGCACAGATGGGGAGCATTTTGATTGATGTTGTGGGCCGCTCTGGCCCAAAATGCCAGGGCCGTTTTTTTTTTTTTTTTGTCCCAATCTAGCTCTGCAATGAGTACAATTGTTTGTATTCAATACTTTATTATTATTGTTATAATTTTCCATTTTCCTTATCTGAAATACTTGTATTTTAGCATTTTTTTGCAGTCCACTTAGAATCCAACATGGAAATCAAGGTTTTCTCTATTGGCATTGATTGTTTTGAAATTCAAATGGCAATAACATGCCTGTGTTTTAATTTCTGTAATAAATATGGCTGTCAAGCCAGGATCTTGATGGTTTATTATGGGTATGTTGTTTACATGAAGAAATCTGTGTTACAAGTTTAATAAAAAATTCTTATAATGAATTATATTTTGGATTTAAATAGTATTTGTCTTGCTTTTACATTCATTTTACATTCGAATAGCCAAAATTACAAGTTTCAGTCTTTTAAATGCGATTAATCACGATAAATTTTGTTTAAGTGCGATTAATTAGTTATTTTTTCTAATCGATTGACAGCACAAATATATATAATTTAAATTTAAATATGTTTAAAAATATTCATAGATGCATAATAAATATACAAAGTTCACACACATAAATCATTTATGTCAAAACAAACTTTTGTTTTGGTTGCGAATAATTTGGAGAAAATTTTTTCCCAGCATTAGTTATTAGTTATTAATGGCATTATTCACTTTATTTAACAAAGTCTTTATGTCCACAAGATCCTCAACCTTGTAATCTCTCTGCTTTGACTGCAAAAAAAAAAAAAAAATCCATAATAGTATAATTTCTCATAAGGTATAAATAATTTCAGGAAAATTAATATCCATTTTTTTAGCACTTCACCCTTTGTTCATTTAGTCTGTAAGCGGTCAACTCTGATATCTTTAGTTTTGTGATAATATATGCATGTAAATGTAAAACTATATCAATATTATGTTCTCATTCTAAGACCTACATTGTAGCATAGCAATGGACAAGGTTTACAGTGTAAAAAATGTTCAGTTGAAGTCTGAATTATAAGCCCCCCTTTGAATTTTTTCCTTTTTTTATATATATATATATTTCCCAAATTATGTTTAACAGAGAAAGGACATTTTTACAGTATGTCTGATAATATTGCTTCTTTTTTATTTGTTTTATTTTGGCTAGAATAAAAGCAGTTTTGAATTTTTTTAAAAAACAATTTTAAGGTCAAAATTATAAGCCCCTTTATATATATAATTTTTTAATAGTCTACAAAACAAACCATTATTTTACAATAACTTGCCTAATTACTCTATCTTGCCTAGGTAAGCTAATTAGTCTAGTTAAGTCTTTAAATGTCACTTTAAGCTAAAAGTGTCTTGAAAAATATCCAGTAAAATATTATGTACTGTCATCATGGCAAAGATAAAATAACTTATTTCTTATAATTGATTTATTTAAACTACTATGTTTAGAAATGTGTTGAAAAAAAATCTCACCTCATTCTGACTTAAACTGTATAAAAATGATGTATATTGTGACAAAATTAAATCTGTTAATCAAAAAGATGCGTCATCATTTATTCCAAACATGTAGTTCCAAATCTGTTTGGCTTTTCCTTCTGTAGAACATAAAATGAAATCTTTTGATACAGAATTTCCCTGTTCTTTATATAATGGAATTTAATGAATGGCTGCTCTATCCTATAAAATTAAAGTATCCTTCAAAATTAGAAAGTCATGTAGGTTTAAAACAGTGAGTGTAAGTAAATTATAACATAAATAAATAAATTAATTAATTAATAAATAAACAAATAAATACACAAACATTTTATTGTCTGACAAAAAATACTCTGAAAAAATTGTTGCAAATAATTTATATGTTTTGAATTTAAACAAACAAATGAATGTAGTAATGTTCAACTCAATTTGTTTCTTTAAATTCAGCCCAAATAAATTGTTTACAACCACTCAACTTAAAAAAAAACTGTAAATCCAAGGAATCATCTTAGAATATTTATTTTCAGTGTATTTCAAATCTTTTAGAAATGTACAAAATGTTTGACAGACTGACTCATGGGCCACACACACACAAAAAACAATGTTTTCATTCTTGGTTATTTTAAACACTTTAAACTGCATACGTGAAGATGCATTGCAAACGAAAGTAAAGTTACATACACCCAAATCCAAACACATAAGAGCTCCCCATCAAAGGCAGACGGCTCAGGGGCCTAAGTTTATTGAAATGACTATTTTCCTGAGCTGCATGTGTGTGTGTGTCTGTGTGTATGTGTTCGTCTGAGAGACAATAGCAGCTTTATGGCTCTTGCTGGAGCTCGCAGAAGGAGCAGAGGCTGACAGTGGGTGATAAGACCACCAGCCTGCTTCTTGTGATAATCGTTCGCTGGACCCCCACTCACTCTGTGCACAGCTTACAAGCCTAAGTAGCCAGAATCTTGTGTGTGTGTGTGTGTGTGTGTGTGTGTGTGTGTGTGTGTGTGTGTGTGTGTGTGTGTGTGTGTGTGTGTGTGTGTGTGTGTGTGTGTGTGTGTGTGTGTGTGTGTGTGTGTGTGTGTGTGTGTGTGTGTGTGTGTGTGTGTGTGCATGCGTGCGTGTGTGTGTGTGTGTGTGCGTGTGTGTATGTGTGTGTGTGTGTGTGTGTGTGTGTGTATTGGGAGTGAACTGTAGCGAGCAGGGACGTTCTTCATGAACGGAGGGTGTAAAAGAGAGCGAGACGCTGTCTTTATGTTGCATCATGTGAAGGTTGCCTAGCTAGGCTTGCTGTGGCCTCGTGCGCGAGCTTGTCGAATGCAAGAAATGAAACGTTTTCCAGCTTTCTGTGATGAATGATGATGTATGTTCTTGAAGTCTCATTTTCAGGATCGTGTTGTCTCTCCATCAAAGCTTCTCTCTTATGCATTATGCAGGGAAAGTGAGATAAAGTGTGTGTTGTAATCACATACATGATTAAATAAGTGAACGTTCACTTTGAATAGTTGGTATGTTTTATGCATATGATGTTATTTATATATGCATATGTATTTATTTATTTATAAGACATGTGACGATATAGCATTTTCATACCATGATAATTACTGAATCACTTTTTATAGGGTATTATTTGCAGTATTGTATAGTTATTTATCTATTTATTTTTATTTATTACATTTTAGTATAATTACTGTATGTACTGTAAGTATTTTCTTGTTTTCACAGCTCTGGTCATATTTTGTGAAATATTGTAAGATTTTCTGAAGTGAAAACTGAAGATAATATTTACATTCAGAAATATAACCATTAAATAAAAATCGAATATATATATATATATATATATATATATATATATATATATATATATATATATATATATATATATATATATATATATATATATATATAAATGAATGAATAAATAATTATTCAATGCTGCAGTAA